GCGAACAGCACGGAAGCCCACTCAGGAATGTAATGCCTGGGCAGCGCGCTGGCAGCGGGTTTGTCGCCTGGGGGTACCGCGCTGACGGACGGTAGCAGGACGTCGAGGACCCTGAACAGTTTCAGGATGTCCTTGACGGTCACTCCGTCGATCAGACCTGAAACGTCGGTGAAGTCCGAAAAGCTCTGATAATCTTTGACCACGTCTTGTTCGGAAACCATCGACTTCAAGCGTTGGCTGAGGCTGACTCCGATGGCCAAGCGACGGCTCTTACTGGGCCTGACGACCATGCTGTTCTTAATGCAGAAGTACACGGTCTGCACCATTATCACCAGGATGTCGACCGAGCAGTGCACCAATCGCTCGTTCCACAGTTGACGCATCAGATCCGCCTTCTGTTGCAGTAAGCGCTGTTCCAGGACTAGAAGAACGGTTGCGTTTTTCGCCTTCATATTGGGCCTGGTGCCGGATGGACGAGCGCCACGACAGCGGTCCAGATCTGGGGCGTAGAGACTTCGCAGCAACACGATGCCGAAGTTGTAGCCTCTGGAGTCTGTGCTAAAGGATCCAGAGTTTCGGCTGCAGTACGAAAAGCCTTCCGGAATCGTTCGGTTCAGCAGAGCGGCTTCCGTGTGACTTAGCAACCTGCTCGGATCACAGACGAAGTCCAATTTCAGGTAATCGCTGTCGCAATCAGTCACGGCCTGGGCAGCCGTCACCATGTGCGACAAGGACGACATGGCCACCGACCGTGACGACTGGCCTGCTGCTGGTTGGCCACGGACAAGGGTGCCACCAGTGATGTCATTGGTCGCCGCAGCGGCGACAGTACGAATTGCAGACCGGCGAAAGGAAAGGATGAGCAGCATGTACACGGTCCTGGTGACCATATTATGCATGGAACGAAGACGATGAGGAGACGGCGAAACAAGGCAGATACGAGCTGCAGGAGGAAGAGCGTCGACATCGAACGCGGAGGCTGCTGCACGTGACTCGCAATTACATCCTGTTGCCCGACAGGCCAACTGGCGGCGGGTCAACTGACGTTACGTCACAAGAAAAGTGTCACATCACTGTTCTGACCAATAAATCATCGGCCATCGATCGCCTGTTGTTAGATTTCAGAATGTTGTGCTGCTACTCTTCCTCGACTCGGGCGATTGGTGGCAAACACAGAGGAGTATCTCAATTCGACTGTCACTTACATACTCTAGTTGAGTACTGCATATGTACTACAGTAATATATTATTTTACTGCTGACAGAATCAGGTCTCAAAGGAGGAAACAGGCCACCGCCAAGTTCATAGCGACCAAGCCTCTGGTCAACAACACTGATCAGCTGGTGAGATGTTATCTAGTGGAACAAGATCAGCAGCCACCGATGTTGAGCCTGAGGCATGCAATTCCGGATGCATCCTGTTGATAAGGAGAACGCAAACGAAGGATGTCGTATACACAGTGTAGTAACCGTTTAGCTGAAAGTGTCATCCTCTGTGGATCTGAAGTTGTGCTAAAGCGACGTCGTATTTTCCAGGTGATACGAACAGTTTCTTGCGACCTAGGCATTCATCGATGTGAAAACACCACCAGTAGAATTCGTCATAAAATTGCCGCAAATTGAGGGAGAATTCAATTCCCTCCGATCAATAACTCGGATTAAAGGCATATACTAAATCAATTAAATATGCGGCAAATTAGACATTTGTGAATACCATTCGTTCCATGTTTTCTTATTACACGTTATGAACAGATTAACCTCACAAATATAAGTACAAATATACTGAAACGCACTAAACGAAAGAACAACAACAGGTTAATAATAGGTTAATTTTGGCAGTCTGCGAGGTTATGATATACCTGCCGTTTTTCCACTATGAGAGATAATTCTCCGTTCTTTACTGGTTTTTGTATCATCCTGAAAATCTCTCAACGCTACCGTTTGATCCCCAAATAATCGATTTGCATAAAAACGTGATTGGTGGTTTGCCTTGAAGTACTGAATGAATGATTACGACCCAGATTTGAGTAATATTTTCCATGATGTCGTAAAGAAAAGAGACAATTATTTGGTCAACTGCTGTGCAATAGGAACAGGTATAATGTACAAATGAACAGGAATACTGCACACAGAGCAAGTTGAAGATATGTCTCTGGTGCAGGACGTGTTGAATTCAGGATTACATCGTATGGTGGATGACAATTGGTAAATATGCCTTCTGATTCGATTGATTTTAGCCCGAAAATGAGTGCAGCAAACTATGAATTGGAATGTGCATCCCGCTATGTCGTTGAAATATCTTTAAAACTTTCAGAGCATACTCGCAGACTGCAAATTGAACAATCTATAAAAATATGCAAACGATATCGTGCGCCCATCCGCTTTGCCCCCCCCCAGGCTTCATCCCCACCGTGTTTTAGTGTTTCATGGCATCTGTAATAAGCTGGGTTGAAGATCCATTGACAGAAATCCAACGCATAGAACCAAAGAAAAGTGTAGGCACTGGTGTGCAACCGAATGGCCAGACAGTTGAAGGCATGGAGCAATTTCGTCCCCTCGGAAGGTTGGTCAGAAAACCGAACCACCGAGATGGTTCATCTTTCTGATTTTGAGGCTATGGCCATGACGCGCGTATTTTCTTTTCCTCTCCGTTGGTTATTAAAAATAAACGAGCATCACTTTAAAAAACAAATTGACTAGTTTTCATGATTCGCCGTCACTATTCCTACGTTAAAACAGATACAGAGTTCGTCAAAGAGCAGCTTGCAAAAATACTTTAGAAGATTAGTTAAGAAGATGGCTGTCAGCTTAACTGCAGAAGATTAAATTTTATCTCATTCGTGTTATTTAATGCTGTGTATTTTAGAGTAAACTTTTTCTTTGATGTGTTACCATTGGCGACAAACTTCCTTGAAGTTCTTTCTGTTGAAAAGCATTTATTAACTTTGAAAAGCGGGCTGGAGTGGGAGGAATCGTCGTCATATGCGGAATACGTCGAAGATCGTTAATAATGTATTCCTCATTTTTTACCATAGTTCTGAGAGCGATCAGCATAGAACAGCTAGCCCAACAACGAGACGATGATCAAATTCGACAAAATATTATGGCGTTACGAATTCCGTTGTCCATCAACAGCTTTAGGTTCTTATTACGTCAGAATCAGAACATCTTATGGCCGCATGTCACCTCCTTCAGGCCAAGACACTTCTTGTAGACCTCGATATTTTTGTTTCGAACGATGCTTTTCAGTATTGAGAAGGTCTCTCAGCTCTTGCTTTCATTTTGTGATGTTGCGGATCAAAAGAGACTTAATTCACATACCCTAGAGCTACTCATTCCTTCAAAAAGAGCCAAGTGTAACTAACTCATTTTCAAACCGTTGTTCCTCTTGAAAGTTTTAGTAAGGGTGCCTGTCATTCGAGGAACTCAAGTGGAGTCATGCCCTGTTTGAATATCCCCAGACAACTATGAGGAAAGGGGTTTAGTACGCAGTGAAATAAGGTTTTACTGAATGCAATTATTGTTTCCTCAAAGAGTTGCAGAGGTATTCACATAGAGAACATCAAAACCATCAAAGAGAATACTTCAAACAGCGCACGAGGACTCGTGCTCTTCATGGTTTCTAGTGCATTTGCAACACACAAGATTTTCTAACCCACTGAATGTAAGAAACTTTCGTAGATATCTCCATAGGACCAGATTCGGATTGTAGGCGTGAATTTTAGGGAAAATCTAACCCCATTCATTCATGCTTGATCTTCAGTTCTTACATTACAGTTCCTTTCTGCATCTATGGAATACAGCTCAGGATTTGCAGTCACCAAACGCAGGCTTATCCATCCAAAACTCGACAGGAACTTGCAGAGATGCCAAAAGTTCAAAATAGCATTGACTCCTTGTTTTCGTTGCCATGTTTCCCCGTCTTTGTTTGTCATCAGGTAACATTTTTATGGTGAGCTGTCGTCAGTGCTTTATTGCTCATTAGTTTACCGTTTTCATTGCCGCTAAGTTTCGAATATTTTACTCATACTCTTGACAAGCGGCCAATGGACAGACAAAAAGTCTGATGGTCTGAGTACATCAAAAAACGAGCATTGTTCCGCTTTGGAATCTGATGAGTGTGGTTTTCTTGATTGATGCTACCGTAACGACTGTAGCTTTTTTAATCTTGTGAAGGATTACTGAAATACTCGAGGACGCTTTTTTTACGGTGGAATCGAATTTCATAAAGGCAGTGAAATATGTCTGACTTTTTCGACTGCCTTTCGAATAAAAGTTTTGGTTTTCTGTGAGTTAGCATTATTTCAATAATACGGTTTCCTGTCCTTTTTATTATTTACTGTTTCTTCTTTCGATCCATTGCGTCGTTCTTTTTAAACGGATGTTTTTCAATAATGGTTCTGTTCAAATGACAAACACTACAAAGCAGCTGTACGATTTACTTGCATGCATTGCTACGTTCTACTTCTTGTCATTCAATTATTCAGCGCTCACAGGTAAGCCAGACATATTCAGATTATCCTGAAAAGGCTGTGAAACAGATTATGAGTTACACGCCTGTGACACTCGTAGCCACCTAACCTCAGTCTTCTGCAAGGCTATGAAAATAAGTTCTAATTTAACAGTTCAAAATTTTCAGAAGCTCTGTAATATTGACTACACTATGCGAAGCATTCCACAGGTATGAAAGATGGTCACTCAAAATCGTTTGAAACTGTTTTTTGAAAAAATTTGTCCGCAATTTGTAAATGATTTCCGTAAAGGCTAAGTATTCGAGGACTTGGTAGAAAGAAGTGATTAAGCCTTTTGAACAACTAAAATTGGTTGAGGAAGGTTATATCGAAGACGCGCTGTTGCCTTATTGCGTGACTAAAAACCCAAACGTAAAATGGATATAGTAAATCGTTACCAGCCTCGGCAACGCTTCAGAACTGGCTGTTACCTGTATTAATAGCGAAGCAAGTTATCCGCTAGTAAAAGTTTTCCGTCTCTGCTTTGCATTCGAGTTTCCTAACTAGTCACAGAGGGAACAATCTGTTGACGAATTATGTACCTAGAATCAGAAACTCATTCAACGAAATTCTGTGATGTCGAAGAATTGATTGACTCATATGGGGATGAATTTTTAAGTGAAAAACTCCAACTCCGTCGTTGCTGGTCCCAAGCACGAATAAGGAAGGAAGAAAGTCGGAAACCGCCGCGAGGTCTCCGTTAAACCTTGCCACCTGTCTCTCATGGTGTTGCCGTCATCGAACATTACGTGGGATCGGTCGTTCGCCTAGTTGCCATAGGCTGTGCAGGCTGTTGAGGGTCTGAGGTAGGGTACGAAAAGTTGGCCCTCTGTCAGCAGGGGGCGTGACAGCACGACAGCGGTAGCTGAAGGTCGACACGACGACGACGAAAACACCAATCAGCAGCGGAACCGCTACCAGTTCTGAACAGAAGAGGCAGACAGCGAGGTGATGCTATTGCGTGTCAGGTAAAGTTGTCGTCTGCCGAAGCTCAGACACTGGCACAGGATCGGGAGTACTGTCTGACGTGTATGCCTGCGCGACTCGAAAGGAGAAGCAGTCATGGAATGTGAAATGAAGTGAAAACTCTACATGCGGATGTGGAATCTTTTTTTGATGAAAAATCATTGAATTATAAGCAGCAGAAGTTGCTGAAGCCGAAGCTTCGACAATAGACGAAGAATCGAAACGCTTCCTGGCGAAGGAGATGGCAATCTCGTTGTGCATGGTTTCAGCAGGAATGACACGAGTGAAGATGCGTCAAAACATCTTACGGTTCTTGGAAGTCCAAAGAGAAATATGTCACCTTCAGCCTGTTATCAAAATGGAAGTCATTGTTCAATCATCTCGATAATTTTGC